CTAGGGGTGCCTGAACAGTGCTTTTTAGCCCAAAGGATCAGCCAAAATAAGTTTGGTTTTGGCATCCCAGTGCCAGAACTCGGCCACCTTTGGAGTATAAAATGGCAGAAGAACCATTGAAGATCCAGCTGAAAATGTAGAAATGTAAACAAAGAAGAAAACACAGCCCAAAACACAGAAAACACAGAAGAAAACACAGTACCCTTCATTTTAAAGTACCTTTTTAGATCACTGTTTACAGCCATCACCCCTTCAGACACTGCCCCAGGCATAATTTTAACCCAGCTGCCTCAAAATATTCATTTATCCAAAATTAGCAAGCAGAATAAGTCAAATCCCTGTTTAATGTATTCACCCCCCAACAGCTCCCCACCAGTTTAATTTCACAAAGCCACACCACATTTATTTGTCCAACAGAGAGAAATGACAAAAAATACAGTGCAAGTTTATTCCTTTATTGATAAATGTTTCCCAAACTTTCCAAACTGGATTGTTCAATTAAACACAAACTCACAAAAAAATACTTCCAGCCTAAAATCCTCAACGTCCTCTTTAGAAGACACAAGGGGCAGAGCTCTGTTCTGGCAAAGGAAAAGCTTGCAACCCCCCCCCAGATTTCTGGTTTTGAAAACCTTGAGCTTCAGAGTTGGCTTTTTAAATAAGATCTTTAAGATTAATTTACAAAATGCAGTATAACTATGTGATACAATGCATGGCCTTGAGATCTGCAGGACAGTGAAGGATCTTCAAACATCTTGAGCTGATGTCTAGGAAGGGGCTATTTGGCTTCTTTGTATCCTAGAGGGGGAAAAAGGGAGAAAAGTTACAACACATCCCTGCTCCAGGCTAGGAAATATTCCAGCAGTCCAGGGAATAAAGATTCCAATATAATTGGGAAGGTACAGAGAAGCTGCTTATGGTGGTGGAATGATCAGAAATTGTTATTATCCACAAGAAATTCAAATTCTTTGCTTGACCACCCAGTGAAAATAAGAATACTCATCATTCTTCACCAGCTTGAGTTGTGATATCTGATCACAGCTTCACAGAAAATACTGGAGCTGGCAGACAACCCACAGAAAAATGGACCAGGAAAAACAGGAAGAGGCATTCCAAGAACCAAAATCCTTATTATTAATCCAAAATCCTTATTATTAATCCAAAATCCTTATCATTAATATTAATATATTAATTAAACAAGAGCCAGCTCCAAACACAGGTGACAACGCCTGTGTGGACAGACCCATGCAGTGAAACATTCCCAACATTTATCACATCCTGAAGGCAGATGGTTTCCAGGAGAAGGAGGGGCACTGAGAGCCTGTTTAGCCTCAAATCACCAGAACTTCTCGTGGCTCTTTCCCAGATTAGCAGTTCCAGCTCCAAGGAGCATCTCAGGGACTTCAACAACAGCTTTAGGTCCCTTAAATAAGCATCAGAGTGAATATTCCTTAAATTCTACATGTGTTTTCTGCTGGGACAAACTACATTAGGAGCTTTTTTTGTTGTTGAAGAGTGGACTATAATCAGGTAAGTGCTGGTCACACTTGGACCACACAAATTGTTCACCAACAATTGAGTTTTATTTACTGATTCTGGAAGCTTTTCACTGAAGCTGAGCACTCAGACACTCACCAGTCGTCCTGGTTCAAGAGGTAGCAGCAACCACACCCACCTTCTGGGCAGCTTCTTTCTTGGCTTGGTGAGCCTGCAGCACTGCCACGGCCTCCTCCACCTGCGGACACAAATCCAGGGAGGTTTTCTCCCTGCTCAGGGCCTCTCCCCTCCCACAAAAAGGGGACACAGCAGCTCACCTTGGAGCGGAGGGACTCTGGAGATTCCAGCATGTGCAGCAGCTCCGAGTTGTCAATCTCTAGCAGCATTCCTGTGATCTTCCCCGCCAGGCTGGGGTGCATAGCTTGGATCAGAGGGAACAAACGTTCTCCTGTGGGAGAAAAAGGAGTTCAGAGAGATGAGTTTTGATCTTTGAAACCTGAGGGGATGAAAAATGATGCTGAGCAGTGGGGTTTTACTCACCCAGCATCTGTTTCTGCTCCTGGGGAGGGGCAGCAGCCAGCATGGAGGCTGTCAGTGGCTCCTGGCCCTGCACATGCACTGCAGGCTGAGGTGCCTGAAAAGGGCAGACAAGGGTTCTGAAGTAAGCATGAGGCTGATTGCTTCGTATTTAGACGGTTTTAAGATGTTCTCTCCTAAAACACAATCTTTGTCAAGCCTACAGAACACCTCAGCTTCAGAAAAGGGCAGGGAGGGTGGCCTTGGCTCACAAACACTCCCTGCAAGTCTTGAGCTCAAAACCCTGGAATGTCACACAGGAACACCGTAAATATCTTACAAAAAATCAAACATCACATGTTGAGAAAGCCAGGTGTGAGTGGTGCTCTTTCTTTCAATGATACCCCAGCGAGAATTTGGCAAAGAGAGACTTAAATGGTTGCAAAACAGGAACAAAGAACCAAGAAAAATATCCTTACAGCCAGTCTGGCTACAAAAGGGCTTTTGAGTAGGAGGCAGACAAACCAATCAGGGTGCCCCTGGCAAAGGCACAACTGCCAGCCTTTAAAATTACAAATTAGGACTGTCTGGGTCATAAAAGCAGCTTGAAGTTTCTATAAAAACACTTGAGTTGTGTGTGAAACTGCAGGGATTGCCCAGCCCCTGGTGGTACCTGCAGAGGTTGGACGCCTGGGTGTGGGCTGCGGACACTCGAGGCGTATTTGTAAGGAGGGACAGCCCTGGGAGCAGGGGCAGCTACAGGAGGACGGGGAGCCAAATTCTGTGCTGCTGTGCCAACACCTGCAAAGGAAGGAGAACACCATGACAACACCTGCAGCAACACGCAAACAAGTCGGGATGTTCTGATTCTGAATTCAAACTATGCTCTGCAGGTGGTGCTTCTTTAGAAACCCAAGTGTAGCTACTTCAGGAAGGGGCTGTTCTCCCCACAACCAATCCATAGATTCCACACCTTTTGTTTAACAGCTGACTGCTGGAAAATATTGAGTTTGGATGCTCTCCTCTGAAAGCAAAACCCACAAGCTACAGAGATTTTGGGAGGTGTTGCAGAGGTGTAGAGATGAGTCCCAAACCAGTGGAGAAGAACCCACCTGGATTTCCACTGCTTTGCTGTAGCACCGAGTGCCCCCAGACCCACACTGCACAGCGGGGAACAGGAAATAGGCAGAGTGCTCTTTGCAGACATCCCAGGTCTGACAAACATCTCTGGCAGTTGAAGTCAGGTCTCCACAGCATCCTCCTCCCTCCCAAGGAAGGGGAAAAGCCCAGGAAGAGACCCCTTCTTACCAACTCTCTGGGCAGCAGCGGGGAGGCCCCGGGAGGCCGGAGCGTTGGCAGGGGCCAGGTGGCGCAGGGCGGGCCGGGGCCCCGACTGGCGCATGGCATTCGGCATTCCCTGGAAGCCTAAAGGATGGAATGAGGGGAAATCCTCAAAAGGGAATCAGCTGGCAAGGCAGGACAGTCAGCTACAGGGGTGGTGCATGGGGAGAATCAGAGAATCAGAGCTGGAAGGGACACACGAGGATCAGAGTCCAGCTCCCGGCCCTGCACAGGACCATTCCCACAAAGGAAAGCGTTAGCTGTTCCTGTTGCAAAGTTCAGCCCCCAAAAAAGGGCTCTACAACCAAAACAGCCTCTGGCACTCTCACCTTGAGGTCTCCCTCCTTGCTGCCATCGTGGGTTGGGTCTCATCTGTGTCATCTGGTTGGGTGCATAGTAAGTGGGTCTGCTCTGAGCCTGGAGGAGGATGAGATAAGCTCAGAGGCAACATCCATGTGCATCACAAACATTGTTCACAACATGCTCCAGCAGCCCTTGCCAGGACTCGAGGCTCAGGTTGGATTAAGAGAACAGGCAGCTGGCAAGTCACAGAATTCATTCCACTGCTGCACCCCTCATTAGGAATTGTTGCTTACAGGCATAAGAAAGGCTCTGTGAGATTAACACAGGATAAAAACCCCACAGCAGCTCACCTGGGGCACAGCAGGCATGAAATAGCCGCCAGCAGCAGGCTGGAACTGGTTGATGATGGTGTTGGCAGGCAAGGCCCTCATGCCAGCGATGCGCTGCATGTACTGGTTGGTGAGATGGGCCTTCCTCTCCTCCTTCCTCTGGGCCAGTGCCACATAGAGGGGCTTGGAGCCCACGATGCGCCCGTTCATCTCTGTCACAGCTTTGGTGGCCTCCTCTGGAGAGGAAAAGCAGACAAAGCCAAACCCTTTGCTCCGTCCATCTTCCAGCATCACCTGCAGTAAAGATCAGTTACTGATGGAGTACAACTGAGCTGAAGAATCTGTGGTTTTTTTGGATTTTAGGCAGGACATAACTTGTTGCAGAGGTGTAGAGACAGGTTCTCATGGAGAGTCACCTGTCTGGATTTGCTCTGCGTTGCTGTCAGCACCATGTGTCCCCAGGCCCACACTGCACAGTAAGGAATGGGAAAGATTTGGTGCAGTTCTAAATGCACAAAACAGAGGAAAGTGTCATTTCATGCTTATGACCTCAAGCAAGCATGTTTGCCACTTCCTGCCTCCCCTTTTGGTAAGGGAATCAACTTTTCAGTAAAATCCCACTATTTATTAGCCAAGGTGTTTTCAGAATCACAGTAACCACAGGTTAAGAACAGCCCTGTAATCCCATGTCAGACAACATTTCCCTCTTCAGGCTTTAAATATTTCCTTTAAGTATTTCCACAATATTTTAATACAGGCTTTTAAATGCCACAATACCTTGGCACTTGTTATTGACCCAAAAGGTGAGAACTCCTTCCTCAGTTTTTCATCATCTATAGTGTCATCTAGGTTTTTAATGTACAGGTTAACACCCTGGAAGGGAGAGAACAGCATGACATTCACATTAAAAAAAAAATAAAAAATTATATGCACATCAACTGTTACCCATCTGCCAGAGCTGTAATTTATCCTAAAACTCTTAATTTAGCATCATTCCACAAAGCTGAAGGTGATAAATGTTGCAAAGGCGTAGAGACAAGTCCCAGTGTGGTGAAAGGGAGCTTGTCTGGATTTCCTCTGCCTTCCTGTGGCATCATCACATGTCCCCAGCACTGCACCTCAGGGAGTGGGGGAGTTTCAGATGCCACTTCTGGCACGACCCAGTTCTGCCAGAAATTACAGAGAGCAGGGCAGAGTTGTGCTGTCTCTTCCCATTCCTCCAGGGATCCCCACTTGAAAGTCAAGGAGATTTCATGCCTCTTGTCTCACACTCTCCTAAACAACTTCAGTACCAAGACTAAGCCTCACTTGCCACCAAATACCACGGAGACACCTCTGTGTTTTAACCCAGGATGTCTCACAGGACAGTAACTACCCAGACAATTCCTTCAACAGACCAGAAACAGTGCTTAAATTGAGAAAAGAATCAGATTATTCACCTGGTACCGGCTGAGTCTCTCCTGTTTTAGCTGTTCAAACCTTCTTTTCAGCTCTGCCTGGCGCTCAGCCTTCTTCTGTGCTCTGCCCACAAACAGCATTTTCCCATTGATGTCCTTGCCATTCATCTCTTCCACTGCCTGCACACAGAGGGTTCAAGAGGAAACTCTCAGCTGCTGCAGCAGGACAGACCCTGCTCCTGTCAGAACAGGACTGTGTCCCTGCCTGCCAGTCAATAAATCAGAGTTTGCACATTACCTTTGCACAGTTCCTGTTACAGGATCATTAAACACAGGCTCATTAAAGACAAGCTGAATGAAGTTATCACACAGATCAAGCTGACGCATCGTGGAGCACTGAACTAACTTGGAAATTCATCCCCACCCTTTCTTGTCATTAAAAGTACATTTTAACAAGCACTTTGCTTAGAAAAGACCATTTTTGAGCGATGTTCTCACTTCAGGTGCCCTCCTCCTCCTCCTTCAGCCCTGCGCTGTAGTATTTCTTCAGCAATTAACATTCTTGATTATACCACTGCACTCTGTGGATCTAGGAAACTGGAGGAATGCCAAGTTACCCTTGAATGTCAAGCTATTAAGGTGCAAAAGGTTTCCAAGTTCCCACATCTAGAAGAGGTCATGCCCGAGGCAGAATTCTCTTCTATTTAAGAAACATGCTCTCAAGATATACCAAGTTTTTCTTCTCTGAAGTTATCCAGAAAAAAAGTTGGTCCTACCTTGTTGGCCTCTTCATGCTTTTCAAAGCTTACAAAGCCAAAGCCTTTGGATTTTCCAGTGGGGTCTGTCATTACTTTAACACTCAGAGTTTTACCTGTTACCAAGGGACATGGTTAGTAAAACATCAAAACTATTTCAAGATTATTAAATTCCAGATAATAGCTCTAGTTTTCAGCCTTTAAGTGACCCAGGTAAGGAATTACACATTAGCACTCAAACTACCACTTTTCATGAAATTCACAGCCTCAATAGAAGTATTTCTGTATTTACCATATTTGCCAAAGAGCTCCTTCAGTCTTTCATCATCCATGTCATCCCCAAAGTTTTTAATATAGACATTGGTGAATTCCTTTGCCTTGGCTCCCAGCTCAGCCTCCCTCTCTTTACGAGACTTGAATCTCCCAACAAATCTGTAAGACATAAAGCATGAAAATCCCAATAAACGGATCGGTTTCAAGAGCAAAAAAATGTGTGACTTGTGGCGAGGCAAAAAAAAAAAAAAATGAGTGTGCAGTAGGAGCTGGGAATGGGGACAAGAAAGGGTGACAGTCAGAGAACAACAAACAGGCCACAGACCAACCAGAAAAATCACCTGCACTGTGGCTGGCCAAGGACTCCCAGTGGCCCTAGACAGAACCCACCCCAGCCCGCTCGCAGAGAGGTGGCAAATCAAGGCTCGGTCAGGGAAACCCACCAGTCCTGGAATGGAGGGGTAGCAGGCCATGGCTTGGGCAGGGTCACTCACCAGCCCTGGAGTGGAGAGGTAGCAGGCCAAGGCTTGGGCCAGGAGAACCAGTGCCTTGTGTGTCCCTGTTAATACCGAGATGCATCCCGGAGCATGTGAGCGCTGCTGCTGCCGCCTGTGACACTCACACTTTGCGGTCGTTGAGCAGCATGCCGTTCATCTTCTCGATGGCCCTATCTGCAGCATCCTGGGTCTCAAAGTGCACAAAGGCGTAGCCCTTAGAGCCATTCTCATCACACACCACCTGCAGGAGAGGGAGCAAAGCCAGGTGTCAGTGTCCCTCCTGTGCCACGGGCCAGCAGCTGAAAACACGCTGCTGCCAAGGGCCAGCACCAGGCAGCTCCTGACAACGGTCAGCACCAGGCAGACACCACCTGGCTGACAGATTCCTGCACTTCCTGACCAAATCTGATGGAATTCCAGCAATCCCTGAGCTTTTGGTCAGCTCTGCCTTTCAGAGTTTTAACACCGAGGTCACAGGTTTGATCTCTGTAGGCACCATTCATTTAAAGAGTTGGACTTGATGAGCCTTGTGTGTCCCAACCCAGAATATTCTGTGATTTGGCTCCTGACACTTGACAAGAAGTGTCCCCTTCACCACCTGCACCCAAATCTCTGATCACATCCCCACCCTGAAAGAACTGAACAGTGTAACCACATCTCACCTTGCAGGACAAAATGTTTCCAAACGCCGAGAATGTGTCGTAAAGTGCCTTGTTATCAATGGATTTGTCCAGGTTCTTGATGAAGACGTTCCCAACTCCTGATTTCCTCAGGGAAGGGTCCCTCTGAGACCACATGATGCGAATGGGTTTCCCTTTGATCACATCAAAATTCATGGTATCGAGAGCTCGCTCAGCTGCGGGAGAAGCCAAGAACAGATTTCTGTGCTTGGTTAAAAAATTAAGGTTTCCAGTGGCTGGGTGATCCTTTTCTCTGAATTTTACTCAGATCATGGAGGCATTTGGGGTATTATTATTGGTGATCAATGACTTTTAACTCAATGTTTCAAGGGAGGTTTTTGCAGCAGAGTCACTAAGTATATAAAAGGTTTCACAGACTTTAAATTTATATTATAGCAATAAATTCACCACCACAGCAAAATGGATATCAAAGCTCCTGGTTTATTAGCTATATTCTGAGTTATTATAAAGGTAAATTCCTCTGCCCAAGTAAGATAAGGAAAACCAGGAAACTCTGGTAAAAAAAAAAAAAAAAGTAAGAAAAGTGACTGTGTGGCTGTTTTGCTTTTCATGAAGCTCACATCTCCCCATCCTCATTTCTATTCAGAGAGAAGGATCATCTCCCTGTCAGGTCAGGGAAAATGTGCACGAACACATGGCTGGCTGTGAGGACATGAGTCAGCCTCTACATAACTTACGTGGCCAAAAAATGATTCCCAAGTTGCTCAAGCTAAAGATGACAAGAGAGTTGAGAAAATTCTGGGGGGGAAAAAAAAATTGTCTGTACACCCCATCTGATTAACAGGGAAGTGTTTCTCTAAACTCTCAAACACCAGCACTGTCATTCTAACCTGCTCTGAAACCCCCCTCCACGAGGCTATTTCTGCTGCCTACTGGTGTATAAAAAGGATCATTACGTACACACACCAGGATCTTGTTCATAAAATTGAGATGCTTGCACTGTTCTGTGCCAGAAAACACTCCCAGCATGGAGCGAGCAGAGAAGAAAGAAAGACTCTTAATTCCCAGCATGGAGCAGGAAAAGAGATGGAAAGATGTGCATTAAAATCAAGGAAAATTAAGAGGGCAGAACACAAGCTTTCCAGATCTGTTTGGTTCAGTTCTCCCAGGCCACCTTCACCCTGTGGTATTTGCTGATTAGATTTCAGGAGAAAAAAATTCAAGGAAAAGACCAATCTGAAACACCTTGCACATGACTTGGCTCATGCAGCCTGAGTAACTACTCAGCATGTCCCAAAAGTACCTCCAGGAATTCCAATGGAATACTGCCTACCAAAGCCTGCAGTCCCTACCCCCAATGCCAGCTTCCACTGCTGCATGGAAGCTTCTCAGAATTTCTTATGTGCTTTGAAATGTGGTGTTTGTTCTTGCTGCTTTTTAAATTCAAGTGTGACCATCGCTGTTCTCCCTGCACACAAATCCAGCTGGAAACAAGCTCTGCTTGAAAAAAAATAATATATATATAATTTAAAGGACTCCAACAGCTCTGTTTAAACCAACGTGTTAAATGCAATTAACTGCCAGGCTAAAATGATTCCTCAGCTGCTGCTCTAAGTCCGTGCAAACCAGGTTCTTCCTGCAGTCCTTTCCTAGTGTAGGCAGCTCAGCAGGCGACCTGGTGCAGCTAGGCAGAGTCCTGCAGAAGCATGTGCTGGCAAGGGCACGAACTGGCTGGATAATACCATTTGCAGCAGGAACAGGCTCCTGCTGGAAGGTGACGAGCAGATCAAGCTGTAACCAAGGGGAGCTGTGAAGGCTCCAGAGCAGTTAGGAGTTCCTCCAGGTTCTTCCAAGCTCCCTGAGTAGATACTATTGCACTGCTCTTTCAACAGTTTGCTACTGTTCCACTCTATTATTACACCGCGCTTGAAATTCGCCCAGGAGCTTCTGGTGAGCGGTGAAAGCCCTACATGGATTCCCTGAGGGATGTGTGCCACACCCACAGGTGGAAATGCACCCCCACTACACACCAGGACCTCAGAAAACCTGTAAAGGATCTGCAAGAGTTCTGTGAATGACTCACACCAAGCACATCTGATTCATTTCCTTCATCTGAGCAAACACCTTCTCATTTTCTTCTATTTAAGCCATAAAGCTTCAGCCATTTCAGTTCCCGTATCTGTTTCTCTCCCACTGGGTTCCTGTCATCCTTCCAGCAGACTCAACTGCAGCTCACACAGAACATTAAACACACTCACAGCCCCTTTCAGGCTTCCTTCTCGTTCCCTTTCTGGATATGAGAACACTCACTGCAGTTTGCCTCAGGCCTCAAGAGCAATTAACTCTTATTATCTCATCCCTTACAGATGCAGAGTTCACACGATGCTGGGATTAGTGGCTGTGGTTGGAGCAGCATGAAGACTGATAACCAACCTCCCACCAAGATTCACCCAGGAGAAACTGCACACTTTATTCTCCCCAAACCTCTCTCTTAGGTCACTGAACAAAAAAGTCCTGCAAGGAAAGCACATAGTGCAAATCTAGCCACTGTTTTTTATAAAAAAATGATGGTGCATATTCAA